AAGATCAGCCTGACCAACAGAGTAAAACCCTGCCTCTACTAAAAATACAAAAATTAGCTGGTCATGGTGGCATGTATGCCTGTAGTCCCAGCTACTCAGGAGGCTAAGGCAGCAGAATTGCTTGAACCTGGAAGGTGGAGGTTGTGGTGAGCCAAGATTGCGCCGTTACACTACAGGCTGGATGATAGAGTGAGATTCTGTCTTTAAAAAAAAAAAAAAGCCTTTTCGATCTGCCATCTCCGCCTCAGGTGGGGCCGCCACCAAAATGGAGATTTTCGTGAAAACCCTTTCAGGGAAGACCATCACCCTCAAGGTTGAACCCTCGGATACGACAGAAAATGTAAAGGCCAAGATCCAGGATAAGGAAGGAATTCCTCCTGATCTTTGCTGGCAAGCAACTGGAAGCCGGATGTACTTTGTCTGACTACAACATTCAGAAGGAGTCTACTCTTCATCTTATGTTGAGACTTCCTGGTGGTGCTAAGAAAAGGAAGAAGTCTTACACCACTCCCCAGAAGAATAAGCACCAGAGAAAGAAGGTTAAGTTGGCTGTCCTGAAATATTATGAGGTGGATGAGAATGGCAAAATCAGTCGCCTTCGTCGAGAGTGCCCTTCTGATGGATGTGGTGCTGGAGTGTTTACAGCAAGCCACTTTGACAGACATTAATTATTGTGGCAAATGTTGTCTGACTTACTGCTTCAACAAATCAGAAGACAAGTAACAGAGTTAATAAAAGACATGAACTAAAAAAAAAAAAAAAAAACGGAGTTATGTAAACTATGAACTGGGAAAATAATCCCTAACCTCTAAAGGTCTGGTGCTCAGATTGATTTTTCTATTTAGTATGTATTGCTATGGTAATAATATTTAATTGTTTTCCTTCTCTCAAAGGTATAAAGCCCTAATGAAATTCCTTTGTTAGGCTGGGTGCAGTGACTGATGCCTGTAATCCCAGCAGTTTGGGAGGCTGAGGAGGGTGGATTGCTTGAGTTCAGGAGTTCGAGACCAGCCTGGGCAACACAGCGAGACCCCATATCAAAAGAAAAAAAAATTCCTTAGTCTGTAGTGTTGTGGTTTTTTTGTTTGTTCTTGGAACATGGTATCACTCTGTCACCCAGGCCAGAGTCTCATGGTGTGGTCAGGGCTCACTGCAGCCCACCTCCCAGACTCAAGTGACCCTCCCACCTCAGCTACCATAGTAGCTAGGACTACAAGTGTGTACTACTATGCTGGGGTAATTTTAAAAAATTTTTAGTAGAGGCAGGATGTCACTATGTAGCCCAGGCTGGTCTTTATCTCCTGGACTCAAGCGATCCTATAGCCCTGGCCTTCCATAGTGCTGGGAATACTGGTGAGTCACCACGCCCAGCACTGTTTTTGTTTGTTTGTTTGTTTTTTTGTTTTTCATAGAGATGGGTTGTGCTTTGCCACCTAGGCTGGAGTGCAGTGGTTCAATTAAAGCTCACTGCAGCCTCCAACTCCTGGGCTCAAGCAATCCTCCTGCTAAGCTTCCTCAGTAGCTAGGATGACAGGCATGAGCCACCACTTAATGGTTAACTCCAAAAAAAATTTTTTTTTTTTGAGACAGAGTCTTGCTCTGTCGCCAGGCACCAGGCTGGAGTGCAGTGGTGCAATCTCGACTCATTACAACCTCTGCCTCCAGGGTTCAAGCAATTCTCCTGCCTCAGCCTCCCGAGTAGCTGGGACTACAGGCACACACCACCATACCCAGCTAATTTTTGTACTTTTAGTAGAAACAGGGTTTCACAATGTTGGCCAGGATGGTCTCAATCTTTTGACCTCGTGATCCGCCTGCCTCAGCCTCCCAAAGTGTTGGGATTACAGGCGTGAGCCACCGCGCCCGGCCTAAAAACTTTTTTGTAGAGACAAGTTCTGGCTGTGTTTCCCAGGCTGGTCTTGAAATCCTGGACTCAAGTGATCCTCCTGCATGGGGCTCCCAAAGTGCTGGGATTACAGGCATGAGTCACTGCGCCTGTCCTGTGGTTTTTACATCAATTTTATGGAATGTGAATTGGATCTCACCTCTAATCTAGAGCAGTGGCTCTCAGGTTTTAGTGTGCAAAAGCATCATCTGGAAGGCTTGGTAAAAAACAGACTGGTGGGCCCATACAGGGTCTGTGACTCAGTAGGTCTGGAGTTGGAGCCGAGGATCTGCATTTTGAACAAGTTAACAGGCAGAGCTGATGATGCTGATACAAGGAGGGCACTTTTGAGAAACACTGCTCAAGAGAAGTTCTTGATTGTTCATAAATGTATTTTGTATACACTGAACAGCCTTTAATACAAATTGTGGCTTCCTTTTGCAAAAAAAAAGTTTCATATAATTAACTACAGGATAGCCTCTGCCTAGTAAGAAATCTCATTAGACCTTTATACCTTTGATTAAAAAAAAAACAAATGTTATTACAACAGCAATACATACTGAGTAGGAAAATCAATCAGATCACACACCTTTCAGAGGTCAGGGGTCATTTTCCCAGTTCACAGTTTACCTAACCCCTTTCTAAGTACTTGCTTCTGCAGAGGTTGAGGACTCTAATTATTAATATATCTGCTTTCCTTGCAGCTGCAGGGAAATAGGAAATATTTTCTCCCTATCTTGCAAGCTCTTTATCCAGAAATTTAAAGGACTGTAACTTTTAAAATGTGGCTCAAACCTGTAATCCCAGCACTTCTGCCTGGCCTACACCTGTAATCCCAGCACTTCAGGAGGCTGAGGTGGGCAGATCACCTGAGGTCAGGTGTTTGAGACCAGCCTAGCCAACATGGTGAAATCCCGTCTCTACTAAAAATACAAAATTAGGCAGCTGTGGTGGCACACACCTGTAATCTCTGCTACTCAGGAGGCTGAGGCAGAAGAATCATTTGAACCTGGGAGACAGAGGTTGCAGTGAGCCAAGATCGCACCACTGCACTTCAGCCTGGGCAATAGAGCAAGACTCTGTCTCAAAAAAAACACAACAAACCCAAACCAAACCAAAACCAAACAAAAAAAACCAACAATGTGGTATCTTGTATGTACTGGTATGAAAACATCTCCACAAATAAAGTATAGTACTGTGACTTTATTATACTACTTTTTGGATTACACACACACACACACACACACACACACACACACACACACTGAGACAGAGTCTTGCTCTGTTGCCCAGGCTGAGGGAAATAGTGTAGTGTGATCACAGCTCACTGAAGCCTGGGATCAAGCGATCCACCTGCTTCGGCCTCCCCAGTAGCTAGGACTACAAGCGTGCACCATCAAACTCAACTAATACTTTTATTTTTTGTAGTGATAGGGCCTTGCTGTGCTGCCCAGGCGAGCCTCAAGTTCCCCGGTTCAAGTGATCCTCCTGCCTCAGCGTCCACCTCCTGAGTAGCTGGGACAAGAGTTATATGCCACCATGCCCAGCTGTGATTAAATTTTTAAATGTAACATGCCAAAACATAAAAATACTCAAAACAAACCAATATTAACAGTCTTAAACCAATACTGACTTTAGATGGAAGAATTACATAAAGCATGTGCATGACTTGTGTTACTATTTTTCTTTTCTTCTGAAAAATAAAACTTTTTAAAAAATTTTTTTATTTTTTATTTATCTTTATTTTTAAAATAAAACAGAGACAGGGTTTCACCATGTTGGCCAGGATGGTCTCGATCTCTAGACCTCGTGATCCGCCTGCCTCAGCCTCCCAAAGTGATGGGATTACAGGCGTGAGCCACCACACCTGGCCAAGAAAACTTTTTTATGCATTAAAAATTTTTCAGAAACTTTGAATTTCTAAATATACAATCACATTCACCTAAAATAAACTTATTATGTAGTTCTCTCCATGAAAACTGAATCCTATTTTAGGAGTTTGTTCAATAAAAGTAACATTGGAAAATAAAAAAAGTGAGCAAATTTCTCATCAAAACCTCTATTCCTTCAACAAATATTTAGAGGCAAATGTTCGATCAAAAATCTAAAGATAAATATTGGTATTTCACAAAATTACCAAGTTTAATTGGGACTGAGATAAGGGGAGAATGGTAAACTAGTACACAGACACATAATCAAAGTCTGTTTTCAAAATTCCTGGTTGTGCTGCTACCCCTACACCAAAAGAGCTTTTTTTTTTTTTTTTTTTTTTTTTTTTTTTTCTTAAACCACTGCAGTTAAGACTTTCATATGGAACAAAAGAGCTTTTAAAATTATTTTTTGACTCAGAGTTGGCTTCTGATAAACAATAAACAAAATGACTAAAGAAGGTAGGAGCTACATTCTCCAATACGGAATAGCCTGGAGTTTGCTCTTTTCTTCCACCAAAGGGAACTATCTAAAACAATGAAATTAACATATTATGTATTACATGATATAGAATAAACGTAGGCAGGGCATGGTGGCTCATGCCTGTAATCCCAGCACTTTGGAAGGCCGAGGCAGGAGGATCACCTGAGGTTGGGAGTTTGAAATTAGCCTGGATGACATGGCAAAACCCGATCTCTACTAAAAATACAAAAATTAGTTCGGTGATGTGGTGGATGCCTGTAATATCAGCTACTTGGGAGGCTGAGGCACAAGAATCGCTTGAACCCAGAAAGTAGAGGTTGCAGTGAGCCGAGATCCTGCCACCGCACTCCAGCCTGGGCGACACAGCGAGATCCTGTCTCAGATAAATAAATAAATGTAAAATGTGCATGAAAGTGCTTTGCAAAATACAGAGTATAATACTGATACATATGAAGCACTGTTAAAATTACTGAACTGTTAAAGAACTTGTCAGATATCATTTTGGCTTCAGTTTAAGTGATTCAATAGTCACATTGCTGAGCTATGACTCAGTCAACAAGCATTTTACAAAGTGCTGGGGATGCAGTGCTCCATGCGGGGATTTGTCATGCACATGCTTCTGAGTTGCATGGCAGTAACTACACATACCCTGTCCCCACAGAATGTTCAGACTTATGCATTCATAAGTCAAATGGCTACAAACCTTCATTTTAAAGACCGGCTGGAATTCTTTCAGAGCGGATAATAATTTAATTTGAATTGAGGCTCTTTCGGCTTCTTTACCATCTGCAAAAACATCAAAGAGGGCATCCAAAGCTTCTCCTGCTACCACAAGGGAAGGATCTTTGGTGGTAACCTCAAGCAGGAAGCACCCAACGTTCTGGAAACAAGGAAACACATTTACTATGACTAACACCAGTCTCCAAAAAGAGCACCAACTTTGAATGTGGCAATAACTCATGCTTACTATTTTATATACAAATGCCAAGGAAAATTTAAAACTTTAAGAGATTAGACTTAAATACTTATAAACATATAAAGTATAATATAAGCAAGATAAATTAAACATGTTATAGTTTATATTCCTAAATAAAGTCAATTAAGTTCCATAAAAGATGAATGATTTTGGAAATCACTAAACTCCCCACTATCTCTCTCAAAAAATCTTGCTCCGTGATGTCAAAATGCATAGAAATCTTAACTGTAACAACAACAACAACAACAACAACAACAACAACAACAAACAACAATCTTCTTTTAAAAGCATAAGAATAAAACACTTAGGGGCCAGTTGCAGTGGCTTACACCTGTAAGTCCAGCACTTTGGGAGGCCAAGGTGGGGAGGATTGCTTGAGCCCAGGAGTTTGAGACCAGCCTCAGCAATGTAGTAATAAGACCTCATCTCTTAAAAAAAAAAAACATAAAATAGGACTGATCTGAATCTAATCTAGTCTGTAGACCTAACTGTCATTTTGCAGGAAATACAAGGATAAAAGAACAAGTTTAACACCACAAGGAAGCAATCAGACAAATCTGGAACGTTGGACACTATACAGGACAACTGATCTAGAAGCTGAGAATAACCAGGTGGTGCTGGGCAAGAACTGTTCAAGAGTAAGAGAGATAGAAGACCCCACAGCAAGCACAACATGTGGGCTCCTGCAGTTTAAACAAGCTATCTGTAAACAGATACTTTTGAGGCAACTGTAAAATTGTGAATATGGACCAGGAATTACACATATTAAGAAATAACTGTTGCCAGGCGCAGTGGCTCAGGCCTGTAATCCCAGTACTTTGGGAGGCTGAAGTGGGCAGATGGCTTGAGCCCTGAGTTCAAGTCCAGCCTGGGCAACATGGCAAAACTCTGTCTCTAAAAATAGAAGGAAAAAAAAAACATAAAAAAACACGTTTCTTCTACTAAAAATAGAAGAAAAAAAACTAGCCAGGTGTGGTAGTTCATACCTGGAGTCCCAGCTACTCAGAGACTGAGGTGGGAGGATCACCTGAGCCCAGGGAGGTTGAGGCTGCAGTAAGCTGTGATCATACCACTGCACTCCAACCTGGGCAACAGAGAGAGACCCTGTCTCAAAAAGAGAAAAGAAAGAAAGAAAAAAATGATTGTTAATTGTGTAAGGCATGACCATGGCAGTTAATTAGGAAACTGTCTCTATTTTGAACCAATATGCCTCTATTTTGAACCAATATGAATTTTGAACCAATAGGGCAAAATATCACAATGTCTTCAATTTACTTTAACATACCCAGTAAAGAAACTATATGAAATACACATGACAGAATATTAGTGACTGTTAAATCAGCTTGGGTACACAAAACTCATTGTACTTTCTACTTTTCTTCATGCTTGGAAATAAAACTAAATAAAAACCATTTTTAAATATTGTATCTAAATAAATAAATAAATAAATAAATGTTCTATCTGAGAAAAACATCCTGTTCCACTAAAGCGGAGCTTGGAAACTGTAGTCCCAAGGGAGGCTGTGATTACATGTACACCTGCTCATTCATATATGTGAACACATCCATGCCACACAGCCACACTCTCATTTACCTGTATATATAGCAAAACTCCTGCAATGATACAGAAGAAACAGCTAACAGTGGCTGCCTCTTCAGAAGCAAACCAGGGAACTGGAATTTTAGGAGTGGAGGTGAATCTTTTCATTATATATACTTTTATACTTTTAAAAATGTTTTGTGCCCAGGCTTGGTGGCTCACATCTGTAATCCCAGCACTTTGGGAGCCTGAGGCAGGTGGATCACTTGAGGTCAGGAGTTCAAGACCAGCCTGGCCAACATGGCGAAACCCCATCTCTATTAAAAACACAAAAATTAGCCAGATGTGGTAGTAGGTACCTGTAATCCCAGCCACTCAGGAGGCTGAGGCAGAAGAATTGCTTGAACACAGAGATGGAGGTTACAGTGAGCTGAGACTGCACTATTGCAGTCCAGCCTGGGTGAAAGAGTGAGACTCCGTCTCGGGGAGGGGGGGACAGGAAAAAGCTTTGCAAATATCATTTTTCCAAAATAGATTCTTTTTTTTTTTTTGAGATGGAGTTTTGCTCTCGTTACCCAGGCTGGAGTGCAATGGCGCGATCTTGGCTCACCGCAACCTCCGCCTCCTGGGTTCAGGCAATTCTCCTGCCTCAGCCTCCTGAGTGGTTGGGATTACAGGCACGCACCACCATGCCCAGCTAATTTTTTGTATTTTTAGTAGAGACGGGGTTTCACCATGTTGACCAGGATGGTCTCGATCTCTTGACCTTGTGATCCACCCGTCTCGGCCTCCCAAAGTGCTGGGATTACAGGCTTGAGCCACCGCGCCTGGCCCAAAATAGATTCTTAAAAAACATCAGTCATCACTGCAAAGTTCTTAGCAAGTTAAGAGGTACTTTATAGTAATGAATTTATTATCCATTAGTCAGTCATCAGCACTTCAACAATTATTAGCACACCAAAGGGTAATTTTACTATGACTATCCTTGTGATTACTAGTGACACTGTACTCCTAACAGTGCAGTTTGTGAGTAACTGTGCAAATATGCTGAGTGAATTCCTAGTATACTGACACTACCAGGGTTGCTGCTTAATATTTATGGAGTGATATTAGCATTAACTGTGTGGTATTTTTCAGAATGCATGTTTCCTGGTGTGCAAGGAAAATGGTGTGGATTGTTTCTTCATCAGCAGGAGAATGTGACATGCATACATTGTATGCGACAGCAAAGGCAGAGGGCATCTTTAAAAATTCTGAATTTGCCCTTTCACAAAAGACAGGTTTATTTTTTTTGAAAAGTACCTCTGGAGTAAGGTTAAATTGTAAAATGTGGCTCAAACTTTCAAGTACTTACTTAATTAATACACATAGTTAGATCAAGCCAAAGGGTATTTCCTAACAATACAATAGAACAAAGCAACTTGATATGATTTCTTCTCTTTATGTCCACAGAAGTTTTAAAAAAACCTACCCCAACAGTTCTTCTTCTCTCATTTCTAATTATTTAACATGTTAGGTCAGAAGCAAATTGTTTTACCTTAAGAGTTTCAAGTGTACCATCTTCTTTGGCAAGGACGCTACCAGTGATTCCTAAAATGCTAACGACATTCACTCTAACCGCGACATTACTACTATGAATGCCTCCTTTGCATAACGTCATCAGCTGATCAGGAGTCATGCACTGTTGAAAAGAGAAGGGGAGAGTATTTACAACGTTAATCTCAATCAGTTCTATCAGCATGAAAAACAGGACTGACAGGAATCTCTTCTACAGGCTGCAGGATTTTAAGAGTGACAAAAACTCCTTGCAGGTAAGTTAGCATTAATGTGTATTCCAGTTCTCTCAGACAGAGCTGGTAATTCTGAACTAAGGTAAGCTCTGCTCATGTTGCCATCCTTACCTAACATAAAGGGGCTCCAGGTCCCATTCATTTCATTTGAAGAAGACTTTCATTCTAGATTTACAGACTAAAGACATTTCCAATTCTTTTTTAATATTAATAGTAAAAAAAGGCTTTGAAAGTATAAATAGGATTATGTAGCTTTTTTTTTTTTTTTTTTTTTTTTTTTTTTTGAGACGGAGTTTCGCTCTTGTTACCCAGGCTGGAGTGCAATGGCGCGATCTTGGCTCACCGCAACCTCCGCCTCCCGGGCTCAGGCAATTCTCCTGCCTCAGCCTCCTGAGTAGCTGGGATTACAGGCACGCGCCACCATGCCCGGCTAATTTTTTGTATTTTTAGTAGAGACGGGGTTTCACTATGTTGACCAGGATGGTCTCGATCTCTTGACCTCGTGATCCACCTGCCTCGGCCTCCCAAAGTGCTGGGATTACAGGCTTGAGCCACCGCGCCCGGCCCAGGATTATGTAGCTTTAAAAAAATTGGCTGAGTCTATACACGGTAAGAACTTACCTTGAGATGCTTGCATCATCATAAATTATTAAAGATTGTAAAAACCATTATATTATACAGTGCTTCTACCATGTAGTGGATAATTTTCAGTTTAAGGCTGGGCATGGTGGCTCATGCCTATAATCTCAGCCACTCAGGAGGCTGAGGCACAAGAAATGCTTGAAGCCGGAAGGCAGAGGTTGCAGCGAGCTGAGATTATGCCACTGCATTCCAGCCTGGGCAACAGAGTAAGACTCTATCTCCTATAAGTAGTAGCAGCACAGTGTGGTGATGAAAGGCTTGGAATCTGGAACCAGACACCCTGGGCTCAAATCCTAGTTTCACTACTTACCACTCACATGCACCCCTATACTGGACTAATTTATTTTTATTTTTCTGTAGACATGAAGTCTCACAAAGTTGCCCAGTCTGGTCTTAAACTCTTAGGCTCAAGCAATCCTCCGGCGTCGGGCTCCCAAAGTGTTGAGATTATCAGCATGAGCCACTGTACCTGGCCCTGAGCATAGCTTTGAGTAATTTTCCTTAACCACCACACTGATCCCATAAGCTGCTGCTTACATACCAGGGGAAAGCAACAAAATTACTTTGCATTCCTATAGGCCCTAGAGTATAAGGTTTTCTGGTCCATCCAACAGCCACATGGCAGGATATGCATCCCATTACCATTTCCGTTTCTTAGAAACTGAGGGTCAAATTATGCTTTTCAAAAAAATTCTTAGTTTTGGAAAGCTAAGGTGAGAGGCTTGCTTGAGGCCAGGAGTTCAAGACCAGATTGAGCAACATAGTGAGACCTCATCTCTATTAAAAAATTAAAAAATAAATAAAAGTATAAAAAAAGTTTAAAGGCATTACAAAAAAAATCATATAAAGAAAAAAGAAGCAGAGTGGCGCAGCGGAAGCATGCTGGGCCTATAACCCAGAGGTCGATGGATTGAAACCCTCCTCTGCTACCAAAAAAAATAGAAAAAGAAAAAAGTAATAGGGGTGTTGTTAGCAGTAACAAGAGCATTGTTATTTTGATACTATTAAGTACATTCTGTAGGATAAAGCAAATAATTTTAATGTCACTACAAATTTTAATGTTACTACAGCAAATAATTTTAACGTCACTGTACAGCAAATAATTTTAATGTCATTTAATGTCACTACAAATTTTAATGTCACTGCTACAAAGTACATTCTGTAGGAGAAAGCAAATGATAAAATTTTTGAAAAATCTTTTTCTTCTTTAATTTTAATTTTTTAAATTTTCTATTATTATTTTTTAAGCCAGTCCAACTTAGCAGTGGGGGAGGTGTATACCAACTTTAGTGACACTAATGTTAGTAAGTTCTGATAACCCACTACCATCAGACCAGCTGCAAATAAGAATTTTTATGTCACTAACGTATCTTTTTGGGTACAAATGTGTCTTTTATTGGGAGCACAAAATGATACAAATATAAAATAAAAAATTAAGTAAAAACATTGTACCATTTTTTATTTAAACCGGAAATTATCAGGAAGAACTTACTATTTTTTATCTCCTAAAAAATGCTTATTTCCTAGTTATTTCCACTAAAAAGACCTAGAAGCAATGACAACCTGGTAGGAATAAGCACTCCAAACTTCACTTTCCCCACTAAAGAAATCAGAGCTTCTTGGAAAAGTAACTGATTCCAGGGTTGTTTTTTTGGAGGGGGATGGAGTTTCACTCTTGTTGCCCAGGCTGGAGTCCAATGGTGTGATCTCAGCTCACTGTAACCTCTGCCTCTGGCTTCAAGCGATTTTCCTGCTTGAGCCGCTGGGACTACAGGTGCATGCCACCATGCCTGGCTAATTTTTTTTATCTGCAGTAGAGACAGGGTTCCTCCATGTTAGTCAGGCTGGTCTTGAACTCCTGACCTCAAGTGATCCACCCACCTCGGCCTCCCAAAGTTTTGGGTTTATAGGTGTAAGCCTCTGTGCCCAGCCAGATTCTATGTTTTAAGCAAGAAAATTACAAGTTGAACCTGGGACATCTTATGCCTGGAAGCAAAAGTGATCAAAAACGTAAAACCCTTGTCAAAGAGACACAGAAGCCGATTTAAAGGGACTCCTACAAAGATAGGATGATTTTGGCAGCAAAAAGTATGACTGTCATGGAATGAAATAAAAATTATAAAAAACCCTGAGTTCATAATGATACTAAAAGAAAAAAAAATCACTGGTCACTTTTGGAGATTGCTAGGGTATCTGTTCTGAAAAAAAAAAAAAAAAAAAAAAAAAAAAAAAAAAAAAAAAAAGTCGGAGGGGACGGGGGAGAATTACACACTTAGCTCTTTTCTGTAAGATCTTCAAAGTTACCAAAATCACTGATGAGACTTTCTTATTTACAGAAAAATCACAGCTAATAAATACAAAAAAAAAAAAAAAAAAAAGACAAAATTAGGATATCTCTATTCTGCAAGCCACTAATGACATAATGGAGCCAGGCAACCACAATCACTGTTGTAAAAACCATTAAGTGAACCCACTAATTAATCTCAGCATCACTATTTTATGATATTACGTGATTTGTGATATAAATGTAGGAAAGACATACAGCACTATGAATTATTCTGGCGAAAGAATCTGGATCTGTCTAGATTACTTATGATAAATTAAAAAAACAATAATAATCTGGACCTGGATCTAATTAAGGCTCTAGACCTAGCTCCCGGCTCACAGAAAACACGGGAGACAGCGGCATGCTCAACGATGCCATCATGAAGAGTCAGCCAAATCTGCCAGTGAGGAAAACACTATGGAACAAAATGACTTTCTTCAACAGGAAGAAAAGAGGGGTAGTGAGGGAAATGTTATAGATCAAGAGATTTAAGAATGTGTGAATACACTAAAACCACTAAACTGTACACTTTATCTATTTATTTATTTTTGAGACAGAGTCTTGCTCTGTTGTCCAGGCTGGAGTGCAGTGGTGTTATCTCAGCTCACTGTAAGCTCCACCTCCAGGTTCAAACAATTCTCCCTAACTCAGCCTCCCAACTAGCTGGAATCACAGGTGCCCGCCACCACGCCCAGCTAACTTTTGTATTTTTAGTAGAGATAGGGTTTCACCATGTTGTCCAGGGTGGTCTCAAAGTCCTGACCTCAGGTGATCCACCCACCTCTGCCTCCCAAAGTGCTGGGATTACAGGTGTGAGCCACTGAGCCAAGCCATGTTAAAAGATACTAAGGCAATCTGGGGAAACTGAACTCAGACTGCAACTGGGAAAACTGAACTCAGAGTGCAAAAGGATAAGAAATACTTGTTAATTTGGAGGCTTGAGGTGATGATATTGGGGTTAAGATCTCTAAATTTTCTGTCAGACATGCATAGTGAACTATGTAATAAAATACTGATGGGTCAAATATGATTTGCTTTACAATACTCCAGGAAACAAAAATAAGAACTCAGTGAGATGAATTAAACCATGTCACAGGAATGACAAGATGCTAATAACCTGCTGAGGATGGGCAATCGTGCATGCAGCCTCATAAAATTGTCTCTGCTTTGGGTATGGTAGCACATGCCTGTAATCCCAGCTACTTTGAAGACTGATGTGGGAGGATCTCTTGAACCCAGGAGACTAGCTTGGGGAGTGCAGTAAGACCCCAACTCAGAAAATAAAACAATAGAATTATCTCTGGTTTTAGGAATGTTTGAAAATGTCCTTAGTAAAAAGTAACAAAAGTGGTGAGGCACCTATGGGAGACGAAGTGCACATGGATCACTGTGGAGGGTCAGGAAGGCATGTTTGCAAAGTCTGTAATGAAATGTTAAAAAAAAAAAAAAAAAAGCTGGGCATGGTGGCTCACGCCTGTAATCCCAGCACCTTGGGAGGCCAAGATGGGTGGATCATTTGAGGTCAAGCATTCAAGACCATCCTGGCCAACATGTCAAAACCCCATCTCTACTGAAAATACAAAAATTAGCTAGGTGTGGTGGTGCATGCCTGTAATCTCACCTACTTGGGTGGCTTTGGCAGGAGAATCACTTGAACCCAGGAGGCGGAGGCTGCAGTGAGGTGAGATTGTGCCAGTGCACTCCAGCCTGGGTGACATAGTAAGACTGTCTCCAAAAAAAAAAAAAAAGTTAAACAAAAAGACCAATGATATTTATTTACAACATATTATTTACAACATATCTATCAATTAAGTTGTATTGATTAAAAAGCACTTGTTTTGCTAGCTAGTAAGCCTATATATTAAAAAATTAAAAAAAATTAAAACACCTGTGTGTGTTGCTGATGGTGGGAAGCAGAAAGATATTACTTTTTATTTTAATCATTTTTGTTTTCTTTTTTACAAAGGGTATTTGTGTTATACAGAAATATGTATTTTAATAGCTAAGTAATGAATTTTGGCTCTATAATACAGCATCTTTACAAGTTTCATACAAAATTTTTTAAAAATCTTACCTGGGAAATGTTCTTGGAGGCCATTGTTTGCAAAAGGGCCCTCAAAGCACCACTTATGGCTTCTAGAAAGTCAGCACGTTTAGCAAAATCTAAACCACAAAAATGAAACATAAAATTTGCATTTCTCCAAGATAGGCTATTTTGTAGAAGAAAATGAAACAAAGCATGCTAAATGTTAACAAATGCTATCAGTTAAAAAAAATCCTCGATATTTAAGATAAAATGTTTAGTTAACAGCCCCCTGTATACTCTATAACAGGCGTCTGCAAACTACGGGCCCGTGGGCCTGCATGCGGCCCCCTGAGGCCATTTATCCGCCCCCCGCCACACTTCAGGAAGGGGCACCTCTTTCATTGGTGGTCAGTGAGAGGAGCACAGTATGTGGCGGCCCTCCAACGGTCTGAGGGACAGTGAACTGGCCCCCTGTGTAAAAAGTTTGGGGACGCCTGCTCTATACCTAAGTCTGAAAGATAATCAAGGTTGAAATAATCACAGCAAGGAGTGTTCTACAGACAGTCTTTGACATCCAGACACTGGGTTTTAATTTGACTCACACTTTAGCACATAATAAACCTAAGCTAGCTTTTGCAGACTGAATGCTGCCATTCACAGATCTCCATAACAGTGCTGGGGAGACCCCTGGTGGAGTCAGAATGCTTCCTTGCCAACCCAAGCCCACTGCCTAGCCATGAACTGTTGCTTGTGCAGAGTCAGGACATGAAGGCACCACGGTTTTCACCGACCCAACTTCCCCCTCCCACACCTACTCCTATTCTCACTCTTTTCTTATTGTCCCTTCCTCCCACCCAGGACAAACAGAACAGCAGCAGTAAGCCATTATACTGGCACAGGCATGCTCAAAGGACAGTGAAGGTCACCCAGGAGAGTTACCTCCTTAACCCCTTTGATGGGAAAGAAGACAGATTTGCTTGGTGTGGTATTTTCTAAAAATGGCCACAGCAGTATTTTAAGTCCTGCGTGATCTTCCAGAACGTTGCCACTTCCCATAACAATGTGAAATCTATTTCTCTCCTTCAATCAGGGTGGGACTTTGTGATTTCCTCAACCAACAGAACATGAAGTGACGGTCTAAGTCACAAAAGGCAGTATGACTTCCAGCCCTGACTCACTGGTGCATGCTCTTTTTTCTCTCTAGACTTTTGCCCTGGGCACCCAGCCATCCTATTATGTGGAAGCCTGCGTCACATGAAGAGGTTACCGTGGGTGTTCTTTCTGATGACCCCTGCACCAACTGCCAGACATGTGAGTGAACAAGACTTTGGATGATTCCGGCCCACACTGCGAGTTTTCCAGCTGAGGCCCTAGACTAGTGTTTCTCAGCCTCTGCACTACTGACATTTTAGACCAGATAATTCTTCATGTCCCCAGGTAGGAGGTGGGGGCAGTTAAGTGCCCACGGTTAAGAACTGCTGGGCTAGACATCGTGGAGTGGGAAAAAACCATTTCCACTGTGCCCTGTTGAAATTCTTGACCTAAGGAAACTTTGAGAGATAATAAGCTGATATCACATAAAACATTTATTTATACTAGAATGCAAGCTTCATGAACAGAGTGACCTGGCCTATCTTGTTCACACCTGCATCCCTAGGGTCTAGAACAATGTAAGACATAAAGTAAGTGTTCAATAAAATCAAGAATACAAATAAAAGAACGAATGACCTGGAAGAGGTTCCTTAACCTCTCAGCTAAGGTTCCGTGTCTCAGCTTCCTCATGTGGGCAATGAAGTAGTAAAGCCTGTCTCATAAAACGTGGTATCTAACAGGCACTCAAAAGTTAGTATGAAGCTGCGGGGTTTTTTTTTCATAGGGTCTTGCTCTGTTACCCAGGCTGCAGTGCAGTGGCATGATCTTGGCTCACTGCAGCCCGTACCTCCCAGGCTCAAGCAATCCTCCTGCATCAGCCACCTGAGTAGCTGGGACCATAGGCACATGTCACGATGTCCGGCTAATTTTTCTTGTATTTGTAGAGAGAGGGTCTCATCATATGTCCAGGCTGGTCTCAAACTCTTGAGCTCAAGCAATCCGCCTGCTTCAGCCTCCCAAAGTGCTAGGATTACAGGTGTGCACCACCTGTCCAGGCAATTTGTTGCTATTAAACTTAAAAAAGTTACCATATTGACTTTAAAAAAGTTACCATATTGACTCTAAAATGTTTATTTGATTAAAGCTCTAAGTAGAGCCCTATAAATTTATGAATTGCACACAAAAGAGGTGATTCAAAATGTCTTCACTCTCAACAACTGTGAACAGTATTTAAGAATTTGTAGGATGTCAGCCAGGTGAAGTGGCTCATGCCTGCAATCCCAGCACACTGGGAGGCTGAAGAGGGCAGATCACGAGGTCGGGAGATCGAGACTATCCTGGCCAACATGGTGAAACCCTGTCTCTACTAAAAATACAAAAATTAGCTGGGCGTGGTGGCATGCACCTGTAGTCCCAGCCACCCCGGAGGATGAGGCACGAGAATTACCTGAACCTGGGAGGCAGAGGTTGCAGTCAGCTGACATCATGCCACTGCACTCCAGCTTGGAGACAGAGAAAGACTTCGTCTCAAAAAAACAAAAAACAAAAGCAACAAAGAATTTATAGAATGTCTAAATGTAGGCAAATATAACCCACAAGTAATTTTTATACTTAGGTGAATTTTTCAGACTTTTTTTTTTTTTTTTTTTTTTTTTTTTTGAGACAGTCTTGCTCGGTCTCCCAGGCTGAAGTATAGTGGCATGATGTTGGCTCACTGTAACCTCTGCCTCCTGGGTTCAAACGATTTTCCTGCCTCAGCCTCCCACGTAGCTGGGATTACAGGCATGAACCTCCACGCCTGGCTAATTTTCATATTTTTAGTAGAGATAGGGTTTCACTATATTGGCCAGGCTAGTCTTGAACTCCTGACCTCAAATGATCTGACCACCTTGGCCTCCCAAAGTGCTGGGATTACAGGTGTGCACCACCATGCCCCAGCCTGAATTATCTTTCTTTTTAAATTGATTTTGAGATGGAGTCTTGCTCTGCTGCCCAGGCTGAAATGCAGTGGTGCGATCTTGGATCACTGCAACCTCCATCACCCAAGTTCGGGCAGTTCTCCTGTCTCAGCCTTCCTAGTATCTGGGCCTGAATTTTCAACATTCTGATACGGAATGGAAAAATATCCCAGAATGGGATACTACCATTTTAATTACAACTAAAGAAGAACATTCTGATTCTTAAAATCTGGGAAAACAGAATCCTAAATGATTTTAGAACTCATGTAATGGAGCCGAATGACAAACTGACCCAATATGAAACACAACATTGCTAAAAAATGCATTGACTTTTGAAAACCAATAGCTTTTAATGAAGGAGACAAAGATGTTAGTGTTTTGAAAACAAGGAACAGATTGTACTAAACCACCCTCCCTTTATCTCTGGTATCAGCCACAAACATAAATGTTGGTATGTACAGAGTATCACAAATGTTATAAATACTGTATTCAGAACCACAGTTAGCATTAAAATTAAAACAAGTTAGACAGAGCTGTAGAATCTTCATACCTTTTTCAATCATAACACAAAACAGTAGAAATATTTAGTTCCATCCTCCCCATTAAATTCTTTTTTTTTTTTTTTTTTTAAATTCACACAGAGTCTCACTCTGTTACCCAGGCTGGAGTACAGTAGTGTGATCATAGCTCATTGCAGCTTTGACCTCCTGGGCTCAAGCAATCCTTCCATTTTAGCTTCCCTGGGACCACGGGCACAAGCAAGCTACCGCTCCTGAGTAATTAAAAACTTTTTTTGGTGGAGACAGGATATTGCTATGTTGCCCAGGCTGGTCTTAGACTCCTCGGCTCACATGATCCTCCCTATTCAGCTCCCAAAGTGCTGGGACTTCAGGTATAAGCCAGCCCGCACTAAATTCTCTTGTAGTAGTTCCCACCATCCATATAGAACCCACAGGATTACATTTAATAAATCCCAAATGCTTACAAGGACTGTAGAATATCATCTCCAAATATAAGCAATTATCCTTTATCAACTTCATTCTGGTAAAAAAATATATTGTTAATCCAAAATAAATAACAATGACACTACTTTTGAGTCATTTTGACTCTCCATTTCTCCGAATGCCATGGCAGGTGATATAAAGGCCATAGATGGGATATGAGGATGGGCCCCAAGAAAGCTGGACAGTCCAGAGGCATTGTAACCATCCAAATCCATCACAGGCAAGGTCAATTCAGACTATCAATCCCTGGAAGTCAATGAGCCCACATTGTTAAGTGGACACATTTGCAAAATTACTGTTATGACAGTAATATGCAGCTGGTACTTTCCACAAAAATAACATCATGGCCCTCAGGATACACAAAAGCATTCTTAACCTAACAGCATGTCAGATTTCTGAACCTTTAAAAAAAAACGTCAGGCGTGGTAGCTCAAGCCTGTAATCCCAGCACTTTGGGAGGCCAAAGCGGGCAGATCACCTGAGGTTGAGAGTTCGAGAGCAGCCTGACCATGGACAAACCCCATCTCTACTAAAAATACAAAATTAGCATGCGTTGTGGTGCATGCCTGTAATCCCAGCTACTCAGGAGGCTGAGGCAGAAGAATTGTTTGAACCCGGGAGGCAGAGGTTGTGCTGAGCCGAGATCATGCCATTGCACTCCAGCCTGGGCAAGAAGAGCGAAACTCCTTCTCAACAACAACAAAAACAACAAAAAAGATGATGTCAAGAACAGACATGAAATGGCAATTTATTTAAAATCAAAGTGCTGGGGCTGGGCACAGTGGCTCATGCCTGTAATTCCAGCACTTCGGGAGGCCGAGGTGGGCAGATCACGGGGTCAAGAGATCGAGATCTTCCTGGCCAACATGGTGAAACCCCATCTCTACCAAAAATACAAAAAAATTAGCTAGGCATGGTGACTCACACCTGTAGTCCCAGCTACTCGGGAGGCTGAGGCAAGAGAACTGCTTGAACCCAAGAGGCAGAGGTTGCAGTGAGCCAAGACTGCACCACCACACTCCAGCCTGGTGACTGAGCAAGACTCGGTTTCAAAAAAAAAAAAAAATCAAAGTGCTTACTTATATTTTCCCACAATTCAGAAACTTTCCAGAACTCAGCTTGGGACAGTGGGAGGCCCACTCCCACCCCACAGGACATCTTGCTGGGCTGATGGGAGCCATAGTAAACTATGAATATCTGTTAGAATAACATGTATTAGACTTTGTACAGCTAGGTTGTTTTTTGTTTTTGTTGTTTTTCCTCCAAGTGAAACCTGCAGCTGGGTCATTTAAAAAAATATTTAACTCTGGTATTTCTATAGCTCTTTGTGTACATATGAAATTGATCCGTATCAGAGACCTGTAACTTAGAGAATCAGCTCCTACCATGCAAAGGTGTTTGAAGAAAGATACATGTTAGATGATGGCAAGGTGTACAAATGTGTGGATGGTATTCTACCATTTGCCTTACATACACACACACACATGCATACATGTACAGGCTCTCTTATATTTGGAGAATCTCTCTGGAAGGATACACAAGTAACTGGTGTAACAGTGACTTGACTCTGAGAGAGGAACTGGGTGTGGGAGAAAGGAGGGAAGCTTTCCAGTTTCTGTTCTCTAATAACTTTTAAATTCTGTACTACATATATATATTATTCAAATTTAAATGCTTACAACTAGGAGGAAAAGCATAGAGAATTACTGAAAAATTATTGCTATTATTGAGACAGAATTTTGTTCTTTTGTTGTTTAGTAGAGACGGGGTTTCACCATGTTGGTCAGGCTGGTCTTGAATTCCTGACCTCGTGATCTGCCCAGCTCAGCCTCCCAAAGTGCTGCGATTACAGGCGTGAGCCACTGCGCCCGGCTCAGAGTTTTGTTCTTGTTGCCCAGGCTGGAGTGCGGTGGCGTGATCTCAGCTCACTGCAATCTCCGCCTCCTGGGTTCAAGTGATTCTCCTGCCTCAGCCTCCTGAGTAGCTGGGATTACTGGTATCTGCCACCACATCCAGCTAATTTCTGTATTTTTAGTAGAGACAGGGTTTCACCATGTTGGCCAGGATGGTCTCAAACTCCTGATCTCAGGTCATCCACCTACCTCGGCCTCCCAAAGTGCTGCGACTACAGGTGTGAGCCACTGTGCCAGGCTGAGAATTACCCAACTATCTTAATGAGGCCTTTATGACATTTATAATTCAGCCTTGACTGGCCTGACATAACTGGATGCTAACAATTTTAATAAAAAAGAAAATGATAAGCTCAAGAACTGCTTACATACTTTGTTTTGACTCTGTACCCCCTGGCAACTATAAATACATGATTCTTCGTGTCTGGGAAAGGTTTCTGCAGGTTGGATGACAAACAATATACATTTACAAAATCCAAGTTCCTGACCCTTCAAAATTCTGTTCCATCTGAGTAGTCTTTCACAATAAGGCCTAAATATTTACCTGGTTGAGGAAAAAGCAGCTAATAAGGCCTAAATATTTACCTGGTTGAGAAAAAAGCAGCTGTGACAGATGCTGTGCAAGTGTCTGAAGGGCTGCAGCTCCTCCCAGATGCTCCACATCCAGGAGGGACACAAGACTCTGGAGACACAGGAGGGCTCTGCACTGGATAGTGTTCATTCTGGAAAGGCAGTAAAACAATCCCATCTGTTTCTCCAGAAAGGTGCCCATCAGAATCCAGTATTAACTTTTAGCCTAAGCTTCAAGTTCTGACTGGAATTATCTGTAAATACAAGGGGATCTATGGCAGTTAGCAAAGGATCACAAAGTGAACTGTTTTTTGGGTTTTCTAAAGTTTATTATTATATTTAGACAATTATATAATATTATTAGAAAAATAAAATAAATACAAACTTTATTATATTTTTCTAATAGTATTATAATGTTATTATTTTTGCCCAGGCTGGAATGCAGTGGGTGTGATCACAGCTCACTGTCTCAACCTCCTGAGCACAAGTGATCCTCCTTCCTCAGCCTCCTAATGAGCAGGATTACATGTGCATGCAACCACATCTGGCTAAGTTTTTTATTTTTTGTAGAGATGGGGTCTTGCTATGCTGCCTAGGCTGGTCTTGAACTCTTGGCCTCAAACAATCCTCCTGCCTGGGCCTTCCAAAGTGCTAGAATTGTAAGGTGAACTGTTAATCTGCCAAATCAAACTGTTCGAGTATTCACGGCCTCCGGTACACAACTAATTAATGAGTCATGAGGAATGTCTTTTAGAAAATTTCTATGTAAGGTAGCATCCTTAAAATTATTATTTTTTTCAGATGGGGCCTCATTCTGTTTTCCAGGCTGGAGTACAGTGTCACTACCATAGCTCACTACAGCCTTACACTGCTGAGCTCAAGCGATTCTCACTTCAGCCTCCTAATTAGCTAGAACTACAGCTGAGTGCCACAATGTCAGGCTAGTTTTTGTATTTTTTTTTTCTTTGTAGAGATGGGGTCTTGCTACGTTGCCCAGGCTGGCTTCAAACTCCTGGCTTCAAGTGATCCTCCCATCTTGGCCTACCAGAGTCCAGGGATTATAGGTATGAGCCACCACACCCAGCCTAAAATTATTTTTCATTGTGAAAAGTGGCATATACACAGTTAAGTATACAACATAGAGAGTTTAACAAATAGTCTATAAAGCCAACACCCATGAACCTGGAAAAGAAATAAACACTGCCGGACCCTGAAAGCCCTGTATCTCTTCCTCATAACATCCCACCTCCCTGACACCTAGAGGTAACCATTATACAGACTTTTATGGTAAACGTCTCCTTGCCTATTTTTTTAAAAAATAGGTTTATCACCTAGGTATGCATCCCCGAACCAAATAGTTCAATGTTGCCTGTTTCTCAGCTGAATCACAGTGTACATATTCTTTTATGTCTTGCTTTGTTAGTTCAACAATGTTAAGTTTCATCCAAGTTATGAGTAGTTCTAATTCAGATCCCTTTTACTGCTGCATGTATTGAAGTGCATGATTTTGTCAAGATTTACTTACCATTCTAATTCTGATGGAGAACTTTGCTTGCAGGTTGGGGCAACTGTGACTCACATTGCTATAAACACTCTCATATACATGTACAGGTATTGATGGACTTACGATCTATGCAACTTACGACCATTCGACTTTACCACCACAATCGCTAGCCACAACTGCTCCGCGTCTGGCAGCGCAAACGTTGCCCAGCTGGGCGTACGACAGTGCAGACCAGCTTCTGGCAGCACTACCATCTCCGCATGCACCATTTCAACTGTACATATAGCCTACTCAACTTATGACCAAATCGTGTTACGACCATTCTGCGAGCCCGACCATGGTCGTAAGTCGACCACTGCCTGTATCCTAGGGCACGTGGGCACCTATTTTTCTAATGTACTTACCTAGGAACAAAACTTCTGGGTCCTTGGGGGAGTCAGCACCTTCCATTTAATGACCTATCATTTCGTAAGATAAAATAATGACAAATGATTTTGAAAAGAGTAAAGTTCTTACTTTCTAATCAAAGGTTTCCAAGTAGAGTTCCTAGAACATAGGTCAACTGCAGTGCTGTTTGGAAAGGCTGTTTTCTCAAAAATCTAGATTTAAAAAAGGCAATAAAGCAAAGGTTAAAGAGTAGTGATTTAACGCATGATTCTCTTATATATCTCCAATATACTACTCCTAAGAGAAATACTGAGGCCCCATATAGAACGACCTTTTCGCCTATTTCCCGTACTGTTAGGTCAGCTTTGTCTCAGATCTTGCCACCACCTACAACCTGGAAGTGTGAGCTTACTTCTTTTGTACACAGAATGAATAGCTTGCTTAAGCCTTTTCCATGCTCCATGGCAAACCTAGAATGAAAACAGATTACCTTCTTTGGGATGTGGTAGTGGGTGAGAGCCGTGTGAACCTCATGGGAGAGGCAGAGGGGAGAGAACAGCTGTCCCCCGCATTCATTGAAGGAATTCTCCATAAATGCATCGCTTTCATCACTGCTAGAAAGCTCTTCCCATTCGTCATCGGAGGGATCTGGGAAGAGGGCAAACCACGCAGAACCAGAATAGTTAAGAAAATCTCCGTGGGAGTTTCCCTCTTGGCCCAAGGAGAAAATGTCTAAATGTAAATTGTTAACAAACCTTCATTGCAGCACATGTTGACGATAATTTCCAGAGCAGTCTGTTGGGCTGTCAGCAATGCTATAGTCTCTCTCAGTTCCTTGTCAGTGGCCTGAAAAAAAAAAAAAAAAAAAAGCAACTGACCAACTCTCGGTTGGGAAAACGTTTTAGGGGAATTTCCTTAGTGAAAGCCTACTAGATTTTTGCACTTGGAATAGAGCACACAGGGAATGGGGTAGGTGAAAGAAAAGTCATGAAGTGCCAGAAGTACAAACAAGCATTATAATTCCTCTTGGTATAGTGGAGCATGTTCCTGTTTACTGGGTTCCCATCTATCTGCATGGCTATTCTCCAAGCATCCCTTGGTTAGCTAAAGAGAACAGAAAAATATTCAGGAATTCTGAATGGAATTCACCCTGAAACTTAATCTACTGTGTGAAGAAGTAGCTGGGCCCACTAAGATTTAAACAAGAGTTCATTCCAGACACCAGGCACTTACAATGAACCTGCTTTTAGATGCTTAGCTTAGATGTCTGCTTGGAATGGCTGCATTAACAAACACTACTAGCAAAGCCCTTACGTGACCTGCAGAACTTGCTATGGAGCAGACAGGCTTGCTTTCTGGCTTTCTTTAAAGACTACAATAAAGCATTTCTCTAAGACTGAAGAAAAAAGGAAGCTTGTTTTTCCTCTGAAAATCCATAATGTCAACTTAAACTTAAAATCATCAACTAACATTTCTTAAAATGGGTAATATAAATTTATATGACCTCAATTCTCAAATTGTCTATGAAAAGTGAAATAACCATACTGGTATTTCAAAACAGTACATGAGCTAAAAATAATGTATATTTTACTGTTCGAAGATTTCCAAATTTCAGTTTTCAACTGTCATTTTTTCCCCCTTAGAGACAGAGTCTCATTCTGTTGCCCAGGCTGGAATGCAGTTGCACATTCACAGCTCAGTGCAGCCTCTATTTCCTGGGCTCAAGCAATCCTCTTGCCGAAGCCTCTGAGAAACTAGGGCTATAGGCATGACACCATGCTCAGCTAATTTTTTTTTTTTGTAGAGACAAGGTCTTACTGTGTTGCCCAGGCTGGTCTCAAACTCCTGGCTTCAACTAATCCTTCCATGTTCACCTCCCATAAGTGCTGGAATTACAGGTGTGATTCTGGCCTCAACTGTCTTTTTAATGGCTGCACAATATTCTATTAAATGAATTCACTATAATTTACTAAGTATTCCACGAGTGTGGAATCTTTCACATTTCCTGCACATGTTATTTCCTCAGATTTACTAGGTCAAAGGTTTAAAACACATTTATAGATCCTAGGACATACTCCTATTTTCCTTTCTAGCATGTTCATACCCATTTACAATCCTACCAACAGAATTTTCATTTTGAGACAGGGTCTCACTCTGTCTCCCAGACTGGAGTGCAGGGGCGCCATCATAGCTCAACTGCAGCCTCAACCTCCTAGGCTCAAGGGATCCTCACAACTCAGCCTCCTGAATAAATGGGACTACAGCTGCACACCACCATGCCCAGCTAACTTTTTAAAGCCAGTCTAATTTACTGGCTTTAAAAAGTTAAATTTAATGGCCAGGCATGGTGGTTCACGCCTGTAATCCTGGCACTTTGGGAAGCCAAGGCAGGCAGATCACCTGAGGCCAAGAGTTCGAGAGTAGCCTGGCCAACACAGCAAAACCCTGTATCTACTAAAAATACAGAAAAAAAAAAAAAAAAATTAGCCAGGTGTGGTGGCACATGCCTGTAATTCCAGCTACTTGGGAGGCTAAGGCAGGATAACCACTTGAACCTGGGAGGCAGAGGTTTCAGTAAGCCGAGACTGTACCACTGCACTCCAGCCTGGGCAACAGTGAGACTGTCTAGGAAAAAAAAAAAAAAAAAAAAAAAAATTATCTGCTAATTTTTGTGGGTTAATTTAATTTTTTGTAGAGATGGAGGTCTTAGTATGTTGCCCAGGCTGACCTTGAAATCCTGACCTCAAGTAATTCTCCCATCTCAGTCTTCCGAAGTGTTGAGATTTTAGGCATGACCACCATGCTCATCCCTCGTGAGTTTTCCGTGCAACAAATTAACTTTGAAACATATTCTTGAAAAAAAAAAATAAAAAAATAAAAAGCAAATTGCTAATTTAATAGATGTAGTTCAGGAATCCCTAAATTTGAATTCCACTTATTGGTAGCAAGAATATATATAAAAATCATTTCCATTTGCTTTGGGTGTGTGCTAATTCAACTAAACATATATTTATCAGAGGAGACTCAAAGCTAAACAAGATATCTTGCGGCTGGGCTCTCATCCACTTAAAATATATGAAGATCTGGCTTATTCTTTTCAATTTATTTATTATTTTTTTGGAGACAGAGTCTTGCTCTATCACCCAGGCTGGAGTGCAGTGGCGTGATCTCAGTTCACTGTGATCTCCATCTCCTGGGTTCAAGCAATTCTCGTGCCTCAGTCTCCCAAGTAGCTGGGACTATAGGCATGCGCTACCATACCTGGCTAACTTTTTGTATTTTTAGTAGAGACAGGGCTTCACCGTATCAGCCAGGCAGGTCTTTAACTCCTAGCCTCAATGATCCACCCAGCCTGGCCTCCCCAAGTGCTGAGATTACAGACGTAAGCCACAGCATGGGGATGAAGATCTGGCTTAAAAGGAGCTCTGAAACTAAGCTCCACCTCTTTATGTAACTCTCTTCCTCAGAGCTTTTCTCTGCTTCTTACTGCTATCAAGCTGACTTAAAGAACCAATTTAAATGAAATGTTATGACATCTGAGATTTGCTTCAAAATAATCAGTAGAGAAAAGACAGTGTGAGGGGAACTAGATGAAGTCAAACAGACCAGGATTTGAAAATTGGTAACTGTGGACGCTGGACAGGGGATACTCTACTTTTTCATGTGCCCCCCCAAAAAAATCCAACTTGGGTTGAACTGCTCTTCCTTCATTTGTGATTATACCTTTTTAATTTAAATGATGTAGTTTTGATTCTAAAAGAGTGCTACAGAAGACACTGAGTAGTATGGAAGACCACAGCTGAAAATAATTGGTGTTCAGGTCACCCTACTGGCACTTAAACACCGGCTGGCTCACTGGCTAGCCTGTTGATCATTCAGTCTAGTCAGTTATGTTAAGACCACTTTATTTGCCACTTTTCCTCCTCCACCCTTGCTTACCCCCAACCATCCACCACTACGATCTTAAGGAAGACTTTATTTCTACTTTTAGTTTTATTTTTTTTGAGACAGATTCTCACTTAGTTGGCCAGGCTAGAGTGCAGTGGTGTGATCTTGACTCACTACAACCTCCAACTCCTGCGCTTAAGCAATTCTTGTGTCTCAGCCTTCCAAATTGAGTAGCTGGGACTACAGGCTTGTGCCACCACATCTAGCTCATTTTTGTATTTTTGGTAGAGATGGGGTTTTGTCATGTTGGTCAGGCTGGTCTTGAACTCCTGGACTCAAGGAATTTGCCCACCTCAGCCTCCCAAAGTGCTGGGATTACAGGCATAAGCCACCACACCTGGCCAAAAGACTTAAAAAAGCAAGTTTTTACTATAAGAAAACACTGCAGTTTCATAAGCACCAAAATAAAAGTAAAACAAAAATAAATCTCTATATAACAGTTAAGTATCAATAGTTTTTTATCAACAGTGGCACTTCTATCTAAACCTTGTTAGACTTGGGTCTCACCCCTAACCTTACTCCCTATAGAAACCCCTTGGAAGCAAGAATGGAGGTAGGGACAATCACACAAGAATGCCCTTCTCCCATTCCCAGCCAGAGATTTCAGATCCTTCAAACACAGTATACCTTTATCAGTTAGGATCAACAGAAACCTGAGTAGGATGGTGCCCACAGCTGAAAATGACCCCACAAGCCCTGATTTATCATATCCCCTCTTCCCACATACAGGTATGCAACAGGTTGGGTACTATGGTGTACGCCTATAATCCCAGCCCTTTGGGAGGCTGAGGTGGGAGGATCACTTGAGACCAGGCAGCATAGTGAGATCCTGTCTCAAAATAAACCAATAATAATAAAATAAAAAGATCTAGGCCGGGCGTGGTGGCTCATGCCTATAATCCCAGCCTGACCAACATGGAAAAATCCCATCTCTACTAAGAATAAAAAATTAGCTGGGCATGGTGGCAAGCGCCTATAATTGCAGATACTTGGGAGGCTTAGGAAGGAGAATCACTTGAACCCGGGAGGCAGAGGTTGAGGTGAGCTGAAATCATGCCATTGCACCACTGCACTCCAGCATGGACAACAAGAGTAAAACTGTCTTTAAAAAAAACTGTGAGCAACTCAAGGACAGGGTGGCACCCACAGGTTGCTTATGTGGGGGCGGGGGGAAAGTGGTTCTATCCACATTTTCATTTCTTTGAAACACCATCAGTTTATGCTTCCCAACATCATGAACACAGGTAAGCATGAGAGGACATAATTGCCTCCTCTGAACTCAGCCTTCGTCATCCTTCAGCAGCCTCCTGACTGGTCCTCCTGCTGCCAGGCCCCTGTGCTCTCCCTCCCTCCAGCTGCCTGAGTGATCTCTCCAAACACTAACTTGCTTTTTCTTACCGCCTTTATGACAGCTCAGGAGTTCTGTCCAAAAGCTCTCTTTGGCAGTCTCTTCCTTGCCTGTCCCATCGGGGCTGAGTTACAAGGGCCTACTCTACAGATACCACTTTCTTAGAAATCTGTGCACAGCCATAGCACTGTTCTTAGCATAGGCCTTAAAGCCTTGGTTTTGTGTGTCTGTCTTCCCAACACAGAGGAAGTTCCTGAAGGCTGAAAATTATGTCTTAATTATCTTTCTATCACCAGTGTCTAGCACAGTGCCTGGCATACATTAGGAACGCAGTAAATGTGCACCTGAATGAAGAAAGCCTCACTCACTGTGTTCCCTGTCTTCCTATTTGCTCTCCCCCTTAATAAAATGCTCTCCCAAAGTATGACTCTCTCTCTGCAGACTGTGTCAGCTGCAACGCTTCCTGCACCCAAGACTGCTCTCCTTTACTGCAGTATCACACCACCATCACCCATTCCAAGAAAACTACAAACCATCATTCATCTCACCGTCGTCACACAACCTCTTCTGATCAGTAGTGCAGAAATGAAGGTTTGGTCTGCCACCTTGATAAGGCTAAATACTAAAATAAGAGGCAAGAATGCAAAGGACAATTCAGGCAAAGAACAAATTCCTTTAGTGCGCAGACAGTCTGGCAGACAGTATGTAACAGAAGCGGGGAGATGCGAGAGTTACAAAGATGATCATCCAAAGTGTTCCAAAAGGACAGGTCTACCCCATCTCTGAAATCTATATAGAAAACCATCATTATAGACAAGAGATATTGCCTCCTTTAGGAGTACACTTTTAATGACATAAAGAGAGTCAACAGGAAAATACGACTCATTTTTACTGAAATTCACTTTATAGTAAATTTTTTTCTGCGAAGCCAAGGCTAACTGGTGGAAAAAAACCGGCTGTATTAATCCGTATTTGAGAACATCAATCTGACTTACCGGAAGTAAATCTGAAACGAAAGTTTTCCTTCTGACTTTTCTTTTACGAGAAATGCCTTCCATTTCATCATCTTCAATCAAATCATAACCATTAGTGTTCTCTAATATTTCCTCAGCCTCTGCCGCAGTTTTTAGCCTTTGCATTTCAGCCTCTTTCATTTGAATAACCGTTTCACCAGCATCCATTTCCAAAACTTCAGATAAGATCTTTAGTAAGGCATTTATGATTTCTGCTTGACTCTTGCATGGAATAATGTCCTTTAGATTCCAAATTGTGCCTGGGAAAAAGTGAGCATAAAAATAAGAATTGCCTGTGAAATATTTTATTAAGTTTTCACAAGACTGAAGCTTTTAGGCCAGTGTAATTTCAAAGAAATCTCAGTCCCACTGCCTTTGTTCATTTTTTATTAAATATCAATGAATACCGCACTGAGCCAGTGTCCTTAGTTATACCCCTGGCACAATCATCTCTCCCTTCCTTGGCAAACAATGCCTTCCTCTGATACACTCCGTATCAGCAGACTCAGATTATAAGAGCTTGGGAGTTTGACACCAGCCTGGGAAACATGGTGAGATGCCATCTCTACAAAAAAAAAACAAAACAAAAACAAAACCAAAAAAAACAACAAATTGCTGAGCAGAGAAAAAAATTACATATATAAAAAAAAATTACGTGTGGCTGGGCACAGTGGCTCATGCCTATAATCCCAGCACTTTGGTAGGCTGAGACAGGCTGATCACTTGAGGTCAGGAGTTCGAAAGTAGCCTGGTGAACATTGTGAAACCCCATCTATACTAAAAATTACAAAAATTAGCTGGGTGTGGTGGTGGGATGCCAGCTATTCAGGAGACTGAGGCAGGAGAATTGCTTGAACCCAGGAGTCAGAGACTGCAGTAAGCTGAGCTCGCACCACTGCGTTCCAACCTGGGAAACAGTGAGTCTATCTAAAAAAAAAAAAAAAAAAAAAATTAACTGGGCCTGGTGGTACATATCTCTAGTCCCAGCTACTTGGGAGGCTGAGGTGGGAGGATCACTTGAGCCCAGGAGGTGGAGGCTGCAGTAAGCCCAGATCACTCCACAGCACTCCAGCTTGGGTGACAGAGGAGGACTCTGTCTCAAAAAAACCAAAACGATCAAGTCAGTAAATTTTATGTGTATTTTACCACGACTAAAATAAAAAAAATACAGGCCAGGCATGGTGGCTCATACCGGTAATCCCAGCATTTTAGGAAGTCAAGGCGGGCAAATCAAATCACCTGAGGTCAGGAGCTTAAGACCAGCCTGGCCAACACGGTAAAACTCTGTTTCTACCAAAAATACAGAAATTAGCTGGGCATGGTGGCACGCACCTGTAATCCCAGCTACTCCAGAGGCTAGGCACTGGGAAGTGGAGACTGGAGACTGCAGTGAGCTGAGATCATGTCACTGTACTCCAGCCTGGGTGAGAGAGCCAGACTCCATCTCAAAACAATAAAAAAAAGAACAAAGAAAAAACTCAACAATCTCTCAACATAAATTATCTTTGCTAGGCCAAAGGGTAAGAGGAAAATAGATACAGAAACTAAATAAAGTTCATACTAAACAGACCTTCAGATTACTTCTTACTTCTGTATTCAGGGATTCTGGAGAGAAAAAAGTTGCTGGTAAAAAACAAAACAAAACAAAACAAAACAAAAAAAAAAAACTTACAGAAAACCAAGTGGGCAATTTCTGAAATCACTGGTTCATAAATAGGTAGGGATCCTGACAACAGCATGTCTTTAACAGGTTAACAGTAGTTTGTTAAATTCAAAACAAATCTAGGCCGGGCGTGGTGGCTCACCCCTGTAATCCCAGCACTTTGGGATGCTGAGGCGGGTGGATCACCTGAGGTTGGCAATTTGAGACCAGCCTGACCAGCATAGAGAAACCCCATCTCTACTAAAAACACAAAAATTGGCCAGGCATAGTGGCACATGCCTCTAATCCCAGCTATTCAGGAGGCTGAGGGAGAATTGCTTGAACCCAGGAGGTTGTGGTGAGCCGAGATGGCACCATTGCACTCCAGCCTGGGTGACAAGAGAGAAACTTCGTCTCAAAAAAAAAAAAAAAAAAAAAAAAAATATATATATATATATATATATATATATATATATATTCTACAAGGCTTTACAACTATAGACAATTGCTTGAAGTAAGGGTCTCTTCTTAAACATTAAAACTGTCAGAACAGATACAAGCACAGAAGGCCTGAGCTACTGAAATGAATGACTACACTTGTGTCCCCCCTCTACCCATACTGAAAGCTACTAAAACAATATACTATGTCATAAGGCTAAATATTACCTGCCACCAATGTTTTCAATAGAAGGGATTCCATGGAACTGACAGGAGAAAGCAGTACTGATTCCAGCACATGCAATGCTGTAGCACTGAAAGACTTCAGCAGCTCTGGGTTATCCTCAGTCACTGTCTGCAAACAGTATGCTATAAGGCAAAAAACAAATATTGAGAAACAAATGAATTCTGCTTAGGGTAATTTACACCAGCATAATTCATCAATAAAATCTGCATTGTTACCACTTCATTAGACACATGCAGCTTTTGCAGAATATGTATGCTTTAACTCAGGATGACATATGCAAATGAGGCTTCCCAAACTATCAGTGCTGGAAAAGATCATGTTTCTTTTCTTTTTAAATTTCTAATCCTGTACAGATCTATACTTTTTTTTATTTGAGACACTCTTGCTCTGTCACCCAGGCTGGAGTGCAGTGGTGCGTCTAAGTGGTCTCAAGTGAACTGTCTGCTTCGGCTTCTCAAAGTGCTGGGATTACAGGCGTGAGCAACCACGCCCAGCCAGATCTACACTTCTGATAAAATACAATTTAAAAGGCTCTTAAATGTCACGACAATGTCGTTACTATAAATATTTCTACGAAAGTTTGTCCTCAGATGAGGCATGGTGGCTCATGCCTGTAATCCAGCACTTTGGGAGGCCGAGGTGGGAGGATTACTTGAGGTCAAGAGTTCCAGATGAGCCTGGCCAACTGGCAAAACCTCATTTCTACTAAAAATACAAAAATTAGCTAGGCATGGTGATGCATGCCTGTAATTCTAGCTATTTTGGAGGCGAGAGGATAGCTTGAACCCAGGAGGAAGAGGTTGCAGTGAGTTGAGATTGTGCCACTGCACTCCAGCCTGGGCAACAGAGCTGAGACTCTGTCTCAAAAAAAAGTTTACCCTCAATTTATGTACTTAGTAGCAAACGGCCATGGACCATGCTCTTATAGTAGTTCTGTTGTCGACAACAGGTCCTAGGTTTTGGGATGCTCTGGCTTCCTTTAAATTTATCATGACCTTCAAAGTTAGGGTTATTTCTGGCAGAGCAATAGTTCTTTAAGAAAAAAAGTAGTTTTATATAAAAGTATGAGCAAATTAAGAGATGTGTAAAATACCAAATCATGCCCATCCAAATTACTCAAAATGTATGCTACTGCTGTGATAGACAATACATTTATATGGAAATCCACATATATGCATTTCTGTACATATATCCAAATGCAGGATCTTTGTCATTAAGAGACTAATTAAATTTACTTTAGCAAACAGCCATGACTGCTACTATACAGGTTCAAAAAAAAGTTATATGGATACCTGGGATGGAATCTTGAGTTCATTTTTCTGTATGTAAGCCTTGCTTGACTTTAGAAGCAGAAGTAATGTTTTAAAAATCACTAATCTAGCTACATGCAGAAGGAAAACACTATTATACAATGCAAAACTACTTTATTCTGATCCATTTCAAAAAAGCTCATTGGGGGAAGAAAAACTAAAAACAGAAATAAGTCCAGACTAAAGGCACAAAAATGGAAATGGCTTTTCTTTTTAAAGATATGAACTAACTTTCTTGAAATTCTCTTATCAAACAAAAACTGTCCTCTGAGATTATGTCATCTATCAATTTCCTAAAAACAGCTTAATTGTTTTTAAAATCCCCATTGACTCACAACTCCCAGCCCTGCCAAGACTCCATTTGAAGAAATGATTTTTAAAATTTTCTCAGTAATATTTTATTCCACTATTGTCCCCCCATTTCTCTTCTCTTAAAAATATCCATTAGACCCAAGAGAAACAGCAGTCAGGAAAATACACTACTTCTTTGCCAGGAGAAACGCAATTCCATAAAGGGACAGCTAGATGCCTGCTGTAATGATGGGTAGAAGAGCAATGCTCTTCCTCAATTGTTTCTCCACTCCCACCCAGAATTCTGCTGAGCTGCCCATGCTTAGGTTTCTGCCTCCTGCCACTGAGCTGAGGGTTGCCAGTGGCTCTCCAGCCCAATAAAGAGAAGGCGAGGCAGCCAAGGCCACTGAAGTTGCTGGACTTTGCCTTCCCTGTCTCATGGAAGGTATGCAGGCCTAAGTGGAATTTCTATCACTTCTTTTCCTCTCTCTCAACAAACTCAGGCCGTCAGTTTTCTGCTGGAAGTATGAGACAGTCGCATTAATACATTTGAGTAAGTTTAGATTCCAGTTAACTGGCTTAAAGCCCTGGTAGTTGTGGGTTACTGTTTCTTAGCAAATGGAGTAGAAAATTTCAAGAATTAATAAAGGCTGCTAAGAATGGGAACAGGCTAGAAACCACATAACCTCGCATAATAACCTTTCTCCCTTTCAGAGCCAAAAGCAGAAAAATTGAATGAGTAGATAAATAATATTAATTACAGATTTAAGAAGACCCAGAAAAAACAGGTGTTCAGCTACACATTCACATACAATGAGAAAAAAAATTGCTCCTATAGAACAAACATGCTAAAGGTACACGAAAATTTTTGAATAAGGCTACACATACTTAATAAGTCATCATCTTTTCTTCACTTACCTACTGAAATAGCCAGGTCAACATTGGTGGGAAACTTACTTAAATACTTTAATACAATCTCCAAACACCCTTCTTTGTTGAATATAGACACTGCTCTACTACTGCATTCACTAAATTGAAGGGGGGAAAAAAAGTTTTACTATTCACATTTTAACAGTAGGAAATCAGCCATAGCAATCCATAAAAAAAAACAAATTAGACCTTATAAACCAAGGAGTTGGTATCAAACACCCACCATTTTTATCAATAAAGGAACTAATACCCATTCATAGTCACTGTACATGAGAACTGGCTATCTATATTTCATTTCTATCACAGTGGAACCTTTTAATCAATCTCTTTGCCATGATGAGTTTCCTTATAGAAGGTTAGAGCTGGAAGAGATCTTGTAAATCATTTAATTCAACTCCCCATTTTATAAATGCGAAGACCCAGGCCCTAAGCGGTGAAGTGGCCCATAAAAGAGCACACACTTTGTTAGTGGTAGAGCCAGGCTCAGTTCCTAGTTTCCCTGGGTCCCGCCTATTGTTTTTTCTTTCTTCTATACCACAATGATAACAAGTCAAAGAAGGATAAAAGGCCTCTATATTCATCACACAAAAACACAAATTTATTTTTTAACCTACTATATTTTAAAACATCAACAAAAACACAAATTTAAAGGAAAATAAAATTTCATTTTACTCAAGCCTTTTAGAGTGCAATTATAATTGCATTAAGCAGGACTTACAGTCTGCAACAGCGAAGTTATAAGTAACTATTTTCTAAATTGTACCTTTTAATAAAAGACTCAGACAGCTATCAGTGTTATGAATAAGCATACATACTAAATAATAAGGCTAATTATAATAATTGTATCCATGTTTCTAGAGGTAATATCCATGTTGTATGTTCCCTCCATACATACAACATACACCCATGACATGTTAACAGCTAACAGAGCTAAATTAATAAAGTAAATCTGTTATGTAATGAAAAATATTTCATATCTTCTACCTACCTACCTAGTTATGGCAGCATGAAGGAGCCCACAGTATAGTCAGGAAGACAAAGCATACATATGTCAAGATAATTTGAAATGTAAATTATGAAACAAAAATGTTAAAAGCTATAGTAACTAAACGATACCGACAGGGCTCATGGACATTCAGAAAAGAGAAATCACCTTGGAGATAGATTTAGACTCTTTTCAAACAATTTTTTTAAAAATTTCCAAATGCAACAATTTCTATAACTTAAAGTTATGTGGTATACAGAAAAACAGCACCCATCAGTTTCTGCTTGAATGCTATTTCCTCAGATCTGATCTCTCCAATTCTTCTGGTGGAATGCATTCATTAAAATGAAATCACAGGGCCGGGCGCAGTGGCTCACGCCTGTAATCCCAGCACTCTGAGAGGCCGAGGCGGGTGGATTACGAGGTCAAGAGATCAAGACCATCCTGGCCAAACATGGTGAAACCCCGTCTCTACTAAAAAAATACAAAAATTAGCTAGGCATGGTAGCGTGCGCCTGTAGTCCCAGCTACTTGGGAGGCTGAGGCGGAATTGCTTGAACCCGGGAGGTGGGAGGTTGTAGTTAGCCGAGATCGTGCCACTACACTCCAGCCTGGCGCCTGGCAACAGAGCTAGACTCTGTCTCACAAAAAAAAGAAAAAAAAAAAGAAAAAAGATTAAATCAAAGGCAAGGTCAGATTGCTACGTAAGCATTTCAGGATCCAACTTAATCTTGTATTCTAAGAAACATCTGTGCTTTTAGGTCAGCCACTGTAAGTACTGCTGACTGAAGATAAGGAACTGGGACAGAATCTTGCTAGAAATGTGGGACATAAAATGGGGCAGAAAAAAGTAGATCCAGGTTGTGCTTTTAGCCATTTCCATTCCTAGCAGCGAGTCCACTCCACCTTCACCACTGCTAGAGCAGTCACAGAATGGAGAGCAGCCTTCTTCCTCCTGGGGCCAAAAAGCTCTTCTTAGGCATCTATGTCCCACTCAGACAGTAACTGCCAGGGAAGAGGAAGAAAAGCACCAGCAGAGGTCTGTCATCCCTATCTCAGTCCAGAGGCCAAACCGAAGATGCATCTGCACCTGGGCCTGACCAGCTTAAAGACAAATGCTACTCAGGGTGTGCAGGAAGTCAGGGGAAAGGAGGAGCCACAGGTGCTAATGGTCATGATGCCGCCTCTTTTTGTCAGGTGCAATGACTGGAGAGGAAATCCGTGAAACAAAAGACATAGTGATGCAATGAGGAAAGGGATTGGGAAGGAGGGTTGATTTTAGGTCACCTGATCCTACCTTTTACCAAATCTTTATTTTTGAGATGGAGTCTTGCTCTGCTGCTCAGGCTGGAATGCAGTGGCACGATCTTGTCTCACTGCAACCTCCACCTCCCAGGTTCAAGCGATGCTCTTGCCTCAGCCTCCCAAGTAGCTGGGATTACAGGCACGCACCACTACACCTGGCTAATTATCTTATATTTTGGTAGAGATGGGGTTTCATCACGTTTGCAAGGCTGGTCTTGAACTCCTGACCTCAAGTGATCCACCTGCCTCGGCCTCCCAAAGTGCTGGGATTACAGGCGTAAACCACCACATCCAGCCCCTACCAAGTCTTAACATCTGGATTAATAGGCCTACCAAAGGGAACAGAGATTCCTATGCAGTGTAATAGAACAGAAGCCTGGGTACCGCTACAGCAGGAGGCTGTGTTTGGAAGGCATCTTACCATATATTCCATAGCACATTCACAGCCTCATTGGCTATATTCTCAATAGAATTTCTGTTCTGATCTTTTTTCTCCTGTGGAGACATCTCATTTGAATCCAGTCCAGCACTACACTGTAACCAAATATCATGATTAGCATACTGGTTCCAAAGAAGAATTAAACAAAAAAGGTAATGATGGTGATTAAATACAAAGGCTAGACATCAGAAATTACTGTGGTTAACAAGCCAATTGAATCCTCACAAGCAATGGTACAACATCAATGCAAAGTGTTTTACCTAATAAATGTGGTAACAGACAGTAAAGAGGGCAATGAAAGATGAAATAAGAGCTTCTACACAGCACCTTCTGTTTCGTTTTTGTTTTTTTATTACATCGTGCCTTCTAAAGTACTATTCTAAGCATTTTACATGTATCGAGTCATTTAATCCTCACAATGTATCTATGAGGTAGGTGAACTATTATTAACCCCAATCTCCAGCTGCAAATGGGAAAGTGAGGTACAGGGAGGCTGCTGAAGGTATAGCTTAGCATGTGGTGAAGCTGGGATTTGACCCCAGCATTTGGCTCCAAAGCTAGTGCACTTAAGCCCCTCCACTACAGCCCAGGAGACCTCTAAAGCAGGGCTTCTCAATCCAGGTACTACTGCAATTCTCCACCAGAAAATTCTTTGCTGGGGAAGGAAGGGCTGTCAAGTGCATTTGGGGATGTTTAGCAGCATCCCTGGCCTCTACCCACTGAATGCCAATAGCCACCTTTACCCCACAAGCTCTGTAACAACCAACAATGTCTCCAGACATTGCCAGTTGTGCCCTGGGAAGCAAGATCATACCCAGTTTGAGAATGACTGCTCTAAAACGATCGATGACTCTCACCAAAACTGGATATCCTTTATGTAGCCTTAAGGGAAAATTACCCATTAACACGGAATAGTGGCTTAGAGGCACTCCAGACAGAGAGCTCCTTAACCTCTTAACTATGTCATGCAATAAGACTGGAATGAGATCAAACATGAGCACTTACTGTAATCTTCGCAACAAGTTCCTAATGTCTGTGCCTCGGCTTCGTCATCTGTAAAATGGGAATAATACCTGCCTCATAGGATACTGTGAGGATTAAATTATATAATATCCAAAATGTGAAAACAATACCCAGCACATAAATAACTAATAACTAAATACTATTTATTTTTATTGTAACAAGTTTAACAACTAAAGGAGTGAGTCTGTACAGTTTTAGGAAGGTCTTTTCTAACTATCATAAAAATAAAGGTACAAAATAGAGATTAGTATCAATAATGAGAGTAGATCCGGTGTTTCCAGGAAAAGGAATGAAATTTCCATACAATGTTTAGGTAGAAGACACAGTCACTAACATCAAAGTACTAAAAAAAGTCTAAGTCTGCATCCCAAAAGCTACCATCAAGATACTCTAAAAACTGCATACCTCTTTTAGCAGCGCGACCAGGGGGGTCATGATATCCTTAGTCACCATGTCATCACAAACTTCAAAACCTCCACAAGCACTGAGATTTCTACAAAAGAAGTTTAAAACATGTTTTACTTTCACATCACATGTCACAAAACACTTCTACCCTCTCAAATTATATCTATTTTTAGCCATATTTAAGTTTTCCCAGAGGAAATAGCTTATTGTTTCTGTCATATGCTGCAGAACCAATCCAGAGATTTCCACCTGTTCTGATCCTTGTTCTACAAGATGTAAACTGATGACTCTGGCCGGGCGCGGTGGCTCAAGCCTGTAATCCCAGCACTTTGGGAGGCCAAGGCGGGTGGATCACGAGGTCAAGAGATCGAGACCATCCTGGTCAACATGGTGAAACCCCGTCTCTACTAAAAATACAAAAAATTAGCTGGGCATGGTGGCGTGTGCCTGTAATCCCAGCTACTGAGGAGGCTGAGGCAGGAGAATTGCCTGAACCCAGGAGGCGGAGGTTGCGGTGAGCCGAGATCGCGCCATTGCACTCCAGCCTGGGCAACAAGAGCGAAACTCCGTCTCAAAAAAAAAACAAAAAAAAACTGATGACTCTGTCATATAACAACTTAGTTCTGAGGTCTGAGACTATACGTATACAGGTGCATAGCTACAAGAAGGCGAGAGGGGAGACTTTTCCCACATGAATAAATCGTGTACGAAGGGATCTTTTATTGAAATTAAGACTACAAGGGCAGGGCTAGATGCTGTGGCTCACACCTGTAATCCCAGCACTTTGGGAGGCTGAGGTGGTGGATCACTCCAGCTCTGGAGTTCAAGACCCGCCTGGGCAACACAGAAAGACCCTTTTTCTACAAAAAAAAAAAAAAAAAAAAAAAAAAAAGCAAGCAAGCAAGCAAACTGCAAGGGCAGCAAGGTGGGGCTACGGAGAATGACACCTCCTGAAGCAGCCCCAGCTGAATTTTAATTGGAAAGACATGAGCCTTCCAAGTGCACAGCACTGTGCTAGGTCCTAAGGATATGGATAGTCAGAGGATATGGATAGTCACAATCCTCCAGGATCCCCTAGCCTGTGTATGCTGTGAGAGAAAGGGAAGGGCTTTCCACATGCTGTTTCCTTCCTAGGGGAAGTAGGGCATCTGTCTCCCCATTCATCCCTCAGAGCTGACCTCAAGCATCACTCACTCAAGAGTCTTCTTCCCTGAACCCGTTTGTACCCTCTTGCAGCACCCTTTGTCATTACCATTCGTTGTAATTATACACTTACGTAATTGTTTGCTTAATGCCTGTCTCCCTCAATAGACTTTCAGATTTCTTAAACAGAGACACTACCTTGCTCATTATCCCATGCCCACAGCCTAGCTCAGTGTCTGGCACACAGTAGGCACTTAACACAAATTTGCTAAATCAGTGAATGAAACATAAATCACAAGTAGAGACAGAGCTGTAAGAACAACAAGTATTAACTTCTACTCTTGCCCCCTCTGCAGTCCATTCTCTGCAGAGCCACCAAAAGATGAGTTGTAACATGTCACTTTCCGGCTTAGAGTAAGTCCTCAGCCCTACACCATCCTACAGCTTATCCCTCTCTCCAGCCTCACCTCCTGTAATTCTCAGCAACCTACCCTCTCTGCTCTTTAGCCATGCCAAGCCGCCTGCTGCTTCACTTCTTTGCTGCGGCTGTTCCCTTTCTGGGTAATGCTCTTCCCCCTACTTTCCCACGTCTCCTGGCTCTCTCACCCTGCAGATCTCGGTTCGCAAGTCATCTAAAAAGCATCTTTTTTTTTCTTTCCTTCTTTCTTTTTTTAAGAGACAGGGTCTTGCTCTGTCACCCAGGCTAGAGAGCAGTGGTGTGATTACGGCTTTTACTGCAGCCTCAAACTCCTGGGCTCAAGCGGTTCTCCCACCTTAGCCTCCTGAGTAGCTGGAGTTACAGACATCCACCACCACGCCTAATTGTTTAAAATTTTTCTAGAGACGGAGTGTTGCTATGTTGCCCAGGCTGGCCTTGGACTCCTGGCCTCCAGTGATCCTCCTTCCGTGACCTCCCAAAGCAATGGGATTACAGGTGTGAGCTACCACGTCAGGCCCAAGAGCACTCAATTCAACCTTCCTACCCCCAACTCATCATCGTCTCGTTTTCCCACAGCAATTCTCACTGTTTATGTTTTACTTTTTTACTAGCTTCCTGTCTATCTCCCCCAACAACATGACTAGTGCCAAGACGGGGATCTTGGCTGTCTCGCTCAACAGTCTTGGCTGCATAAAATCCCCTGCATCTAGAACGATTTCTGACACACGAACTGAAAAGTTCATCCAAGCAAGGGACACTACGGAGGGCTTTGGAACCAGTAAAACGTGCGCCGAGCGTGAGGGCAGAACGCCTGAGCAGGTGGACGCTGCAGGTGAAGCAGCCAGGTAGACAGATGAGACGCGTGTGGTCCGGGGATACTGGGGTTCTCCGGAGCCTGGAGAGTGGGTTCAAATCTCTGCAAACAGGAGATCCCGCCAGAGCCTGGCACAGAGAAAACGCTGGGTGACCGCTGCGACTGCCTGGAGCCCAGGCACCGCCCCAGACCCTTTCCCGGCTCACCTCAGCGCGCCGGCTGCCGTTTCTCTGACGGCCAGGCTGGGGTCCAGCAGCAGCGGCCCGAGGCGGCGCACGGCGTCTCGGCGCGCAAGGCCCGGGAGGGCGGGCCGCTGCTGCACCAGCCGGGCCAGTCCCGCGCAGGCGCACTCCCGGACCTCGGCGCTCGGGTGTTGGAGCTGCGGACAAGAGCAAGAACCATCAGAAGGCAAGCAGAGCGCAGTGCGCACGCGCGCGGGACAGCCTCACCTCGACCCCCGGCGCCGCGAAGCCCTCGCCTCACCTTTTCCAGCAGTTCGGCCGCCGGCCCGTCGTCATCCTCACCTCCGGTCCCATTCGCCGCCGCAGCAGCATCGGCCTTACAGTCGCCCGTAGGGGAGAACTGAGGTCGCTTGAAGCGCTTCGTTCGGCTCTTGCCCATGGCGACGTGCGCTGTGCGGACCACCGAGAGAGGAGGGCAATAGCAGACGACTGAGGCTGCTGCGCTGGTGACAAGGTCCGTTGCCGAAGGACTTGCCAGCCGCTGCTCAGCTGGGCCGGCTGACGGCTGGAGCACACATGGGGAAGCAGTGCGCAGGCGCGCGGCGCGTCGGCAGCGGAGGAGGGGGCAGCTGGCGCGCGCAGCGCGCAAGCGTGGAAGAGGACGCAGGCGGGGCCAGCTTTGGCAAAGGGGCGGAGTCCTGTGGATGTACCAGGGAAGTAGGAGGCTGGACTGGAATAGCAGCGCTAACCCAGGCGAGAGGATCACTTGAGGCCAGAAGTTCGAGACCATTCTTGGCAACATAGGAAAACACTCCAGCCCCCCCGCCCCACCCTCCCCCAAAAATTAAAAATTAGCTGGGCATAGTGACTTATGTGTGTAGTCCCAGCTACTTGGGAGGTTGAAGCGGGGGGGATCACTTGAGCCCAGGAGTTTGAGCCTGCAGTGAGCCTTGATCCTGCCACTGCACACCATCCAGGGTGACAGAGTGAGACCCTGTCTCAATCAATCAATCAATAAGTAACACTATAAATAAATGTGATTAAGGATAACCTTTCAGTGAGGATGTATGTTTGAAAAGTAAAATTTTTTTTTTTTAATAAAAGGATACCTAACTTGCAAGGTTATTGTAAGGTTACACATAAAGTTCTATGAAGTGCCAGACACCAACCCTGACATAGAGTAGGTACACAAAAAGTATTAACCATGATTTTGTCTACCCAGCACCTCCTATAGCTCCTGTCATAGACAGAGACCAGTTAATGTTTTGAAACGAATGTATGTCTATATTTGATAAAACAGAAAATCGCTTAAGAAGTTAATCTCCCTGCCTTAGGTTCCTTATCAGTGAACTGGAGACATCAATAGTATATACCTCATGGAGTTGTTATGAAGACTAAATATGTTAATATGTTTAAGGTGCTAAGAACAAAGACCGGCAGATAATAAACACTATCTAAATGTTTGAAAACTTTTGTTTAACAAAGAGATTCTTTTGCAAATATTTGTTGAGTACTAGGTACAGTGTTGGGCATTGGAATAAAACAATAATCAAGGCAGTTTGGTTTCTGTCCTCTCCTCCTGTCCTTATGGAGTTTACTGTCCAGGGAGAGATGTGTTGAATATATAATTATATTAATAACTTTGGTTATAATTGTAAATACTAAGCAGAGGAAAAAGTGCAGAAGAATCTTAGATAGTCTTTATAATTAGACATGTAATGAGTGAATACTCAGTATATCCATAGCTTTGGGTCAACTTTCTGTTTTTCTTTTTTCTTTTTTTTTTTTTTTAAAGATGGAGTTTCACCATGTTGGTCAGCCTGGTCTTGAACTCAGCCATCGCCTGGTCTTGAACTCTTTTTTTTTTTTTTTTTTTTTTTTTTTAGACGGAGTTTCGCTCTTGTTACCCAGGCTGGAGTGCAATGGCGCGATCTCGGCTCACCGCAACCTCCACCTCCTGGGTTCAGGCAATTCTCCTGCCTCAGCCTCCTGAGTAGCTGGGATTACAGGCACGTGCCACCATGCCCAGCTAATTTTTTGTATTTTTAATAGAGACGGGGTTTCACTATGTTGACCGGGTTGGTCTCGATCTCTTGACCTCGTGATCCACCCGCCTCGGCCTCCCAAAGTGCTGGGATTACAGGCTTGAGCCACCGCCCGGCTTGAACTCTTGAACTGTTGCGACCTCAGGTGATCCACCCGCCTTGGCCTCCAAAGTGCTTGGATTACAGGCGTGAGCCACCACACCCGGCCTTGTTTTTCTTTTTTTTTTTTTGAAACAGAGTCTTGCTCTGTTGTCCAGGCTGGAGTGCAATGGTGCAATCTTGGCTTACTGCAACTTCTGCCTTGGAGTCACTAAATATATGTTGGCGAGTTTTACTTACTGTATGTCTTATCAGGCCATTGATCTGCTTGCCACCTACCTAGTCCAGGCTACCGTTTTATTTGTTTTGCTTTGTTTTGTCTTGTTTTTTGAGATGGAGTCTCACTCTTACCGCCCAGGCTGGTATGCAATGGCACCATCTCAGCTCACTGAAACCTCTGCCTGTTGGGTTCAAGCTATTTTCCTGCTTCAGACTCCCGAGTAGCTGGGATTACAGGCGCCTGCCACCATGCCCAGGTAATTTTTGTATTTTTAGTAGAGACAGGGTTCCACCATGTTGGCTGGCTGGTCTCGAACTCTTGACCTCAGGTAATCCACTGTCTTGGCCTCCCAAAGTGTTGGGATTACAGGTGTGTTTTACCACACCCACCCCAGGCTACTGTCTTTTATCTTGAGCATGTGGCTTTCTGGTCTCTTCATTTCCACCCTGCTCATACCCCATCCATAAAGCAGCTACAGTGATCTCAAAATATTCCTCCACCTTTCTCTTTATATTGTATTCACTTCCTTGCTTAAAACTTTTCAGTGACTGCCAGGCGTGGAGGCCAAGGCAGATGGATCACTGAGGTCATGAGTTGAGACCAGCCTGGCCAACATGGCAAAATCCCATCTCTACTAAAAATACAAAAATTAGCTGGGTGGTAATCCCATCTACTTGGGTGGCTGAGGCAGGAGAATCACTTGAACCCAGGAGGCTGAGGTTGCAATGAGCTGAGATGCCACTGCACTCCAGCCTGGGTGACAGAGTAAGACTGTGTCTCAACAAAACAAAAACAAAAACTTTTCAGTGGCTTCCCTTTCTCTTAGGATAAAGATCAAAATCTTAGCATGGCTGCAGGGTTTCACCCCAGCCTCCAGCCTCACCTTTTCATTCTGCTCTTTTAGCCAACATCTATGGGGTCTCAGGGCTTTGCACAAACCCCCAGCCCCGACCCTATGAATTAGTAAACACAGTCTTCATAGGCAGGGACAGGGACTTCGTAGTCAAGGACAGGTCTCCCCTGAGATAGCATGTACCTGTTTCTTTGCTTCAAAGCACAGATCAAAATTACAGTTGTAATTTTCAGTTTCTTTGTGAAGTTATTCAATTGCCTTTCTCCCCAACTGAACACTAACACCTGTAAAGACAAGACAGTACCCATTTTCACACATCACTTTGTCCCCAGCACTAGCCTAGAGCCTGGCACAAGATAGACATGCAATTTCTTGAATGAATGGAGAGACCACATAGTCAGGAAAGAGCAGGGCATGCAATCTAGATGGAATAAGATGATGAGAATTAAGACGAGGTAGAAACAGATTCCTCCTGTTTCTCTCACTGTGGATATGAGCAAGAAAAAAGTGGTTCAAAACCTAGGCCAGGCGTGGTGGCTCATGCTTGTAATCCCATCACTTTGGGAGGCCAAGGCGGGCAAATCACCTCAGGTTAGGGGTCCAGACTAGCCTGGCCAACATGGTGAAACCCTGTCTCTACTAAAAAGACAAACATTAACCAGTCATAGTGGTACATTCCTGTAGTCCTAGCTACTTGGGAGGCTGAGGCAGGAGAATTGCTTGAACCCAGGAGGTGGAGATCGCAGGGAGCCGAGATCGTGCCACCACACTCCAGCCTGGGCTACAGAATGAGACTCTGTCTCAAACAAATAAACAGACAAACAAAAAACACCTTAGCAAGATGAGCACAGAGGAATTTTAGGGCAGTGAAAATACTCTGTATGATGTAATAATGGTGGATACATGTCATTATACATTTTTCCAAATGCACAGAATGTGTAACACCAAGAGTGAACCCTAACATAAACTATGGCATGTCAACATAGGTTCATCAGTTGTAACAAATGCATCACTATGGTGGAAGATGTCATGGGAGAGGCTGTGCATATGCGGGGCTTGGAGTATGTGGGAAATCTCTGTACTTCCCTCTCAATTTTGCCATGAAATTGAAACTGCTTTAAAAAATGAAGCCAGGCTCAGTGGCTCAAGCCTGTAATCCCAGCAGTTTGGGAGGCCATGGTGGTTGGATTGCTTGAGCTCGGGATTTTGAAACCAGCATGGGCAGCATAGTGAGACCCCATCTCTACAAAAAATTTAAAAATTAGCAGGGTGTGGTGATGCATGCCTGTAGTCCCAGTTGGGAGGCTGAGGTGGGAGGATCGCTTGAGTGTGGGAGGTGGAGGCTGCAGTGAGGTGAGATCACGCCACTGCACTCCAGCCTGGGTGACAGGGTGATACCTTGTCTCAAAAAAATAAAGTCTTTAAAAAATAAATGTAAATATAAATGCCATAGTTAGAGCAGAACTTTGTGGTCTGTTATCATTAGTTACTCTTTCCAGTGATAAATTACCATTGCTGCTAAAATGAATGATTAGCTTTATTTAATGAGCTTAAGAGCCCTTCTGGGATCCTCCCTCACTCGACTGTCAGTCTTGGAAGGAGCCCAGTGATCTTTAACCAGTCTAATCTTCCTTCACCAGTCATTTTTTAAAATCCAGTGAAGCAATGATTATCTAACCATCCCTTTTTCCAGCAAATTATCTTTGTCAAGAGAGAATTTTTGAATTAGACTGCTTAGAGGCCTCTTCCCTTGAGACAAGTTGGAAATAAGCTTGTCATCAATTATTGGTCTGACAAATTTTTTTTTTTTTAATTAGGCATTAGGCTGGGTGCAGTGGCTCACCTGTATTCCCAGAACTTTGGGAGGCCAAGATGGGAGGATCACCTGACTGCAGGAGTTCCAGACCAGCCTGGACAACATCAAGAGACCCTATCTCTACAAAACATTTAGAAATTAGCCAAGCACACACACACACACACACACACACACACACACACACACACACACACACATATATATATAATAAAGATCACTACTATAAAAAAGAAAAGAAATGGGCCGGGCGCAGTGGCTCATGCCTGTAATCCCAGCACTTTGGGAGGCCGAGGCGGATGGATCACGAGGTCAAGAGATTGAGATCATCCTGGTCAACACGGTGAAACCCCGTCTCTACTAAAAATACAAAAAATTAGCTGGGCATGGTGGCGCATGCCTGTAATCCCAGCTACTCGGGAGGCTGAGGCAGAATTGCCTGAACCCAGGAGGTGGAGGTTGCAGTGAGCCAAGATCGCGCCTTAGCACTCCAGCCCAGGTAACAAGAGCGAAACTCCATCTCAAAAGAAAAGAAAAGAAAAGAAAAGAAAAAATTAGCCAAGCACAGTGGTGTTTGCCTGTATTC